TTATTTAAATAAAAAGGACTACATGCCGTGCTATTCTTAGAGGGGCGGACCGCCCCGCCCCACCCCGCCCCACCCCCAATGCAACTCCTTTTGGCTGGTTGGTTATCAGACCAAGTTTGGCCCAAAGGCGTGGCAGGTCAGGGGGTCAGGCATGGCTCAATATGGTGGAACGTCCGTGCTCTTCCTCCAATGGCAGGTGAGAAAATACTGTATCACCAGCTCTGCTTCCCTCTCCTTCATGTGTAGTCAGGACTCCAGCTCTAAAGATGAAGAAAAAGGAACCCTCTTCTTTGAGTCTGCTATCCCTCCAAAGAATCAAGATCTCTTTCTTTATTGTTTGCTGTAAGAAAAGAGCTTTTTTTAAAAAACGAAACAAAAAAAGGACTAATACTTCCTCAAAAGACTTTTAAGGAACTATTTTGAATATATTTAGAAATGACACCTGTAAAAATCGCTTGTAAATTCATACTGGAATACATCATCATGGGAGAATTATAAAGAGTAAAAACAATATTTTTTGTGTGAATTTCACAAGAGCTCTTCTGTACAGTGGCACTGTTTATCTCTCTATCTTTCTATTTCTTTCTTTCTCTCTCTGTAGAGCGACTAGAATAAAATTTCACCATTCACAAGGCTCTCTGTCCTGTCACGCTGTTCTGTCACAACAGGTTTGCTTTGCCTTGTAGAACAGATCATTGAAGTGGAAATGAAAGAAAGTGCTGGATGATTCTCTGTTTGGTCCATTTATTTTGTATATTGTATGTTTATCGGGACCGGGAAACACAAGTGCAAAGTAACTTAGTACAAATACTTTGTTACTTTAGTGGAAATGTTGTTAAGTGGAAATATTGGTCATCTATACTTGAATAATTATTTTTCAGCCGACTTTTTACTTCTACATTTTAATGCAATTATCTGACGTTTTACTTCTTACATTAAAAAAATGTACGGAGTAGAAAGTTATTACTTCAGTTCCATGTTGGCTTGTTTTCATTCCAGCTTGTTGT